TTGACCAGATTTCAGGTCAGCTGAGAAAGGGGGAGAGGGCTGGGTGTCTGAGTCTCACCGTCCAGCTTCATGAAGGCAGGATAGTAATAGGGGATAAGAACACACAGGTTCAGGAGCTGCCTGGAGGGGCCCAGAGGCTGGCGTTGCTATTTAGGGCTGTGTGACCTTCCAGTGCATTGTTTCATTTGTAAAATGAGCAGAGTGTAACCACACTGAACCCACAGGTCCCTTCGGAGGATTAAATGATATAACATGTGTAAAGTATGCAAAACAGTGCCTGGTATAAAAAACACTCCTTAAATATTAGCTGCTATTATCTCTTTCTTTGAGGCCATTTGTCTAGTGACCAGGACAGGCCTTGGTAATAACAACAAGGTTGCTTGGAGCTCAGTCTGCCTGATGAGGTAACTGGCCCCTAGTAATGATGACTCTTATGTTTATACTGTATTTTACTGTACCTTATAGTGTTTTCTTTGAAACTTGGAAGGTATGTTTATTTGTTAACAATGGCTGCTGTAACAGATAAACCCCCAAATGTCAGTGGCTTAATATAGTACATATTCCCAGCTCATGTCAGAGTTCAGTGTGGGAGTCCCAGTTCTGTGGCTGGCTACCCTCCATGTGGTTGGTTCAAAGACTAGGCTCCTTCCATCCTCTAGGGTCTAGAGTCTTTTGCTTCCATCTGGTGGAAGAGGAGGCAGCAAAGAATTTCTTAAAAACTGGACATATTACTTCCACTCACATTGCACTGGTGAAAATGTCTGAAGGGGATCTGACTGTGCCATCCCCAGGTTTATGCCTCTCTGGCATATTGATTATTTTAAGCTGATTATTTTTTAAGAAACTGCAAACACAGGAGCAGCTCAGAAAACCCTAGTTTCCTTTTTGTAAGAAGCATTTATGTTTATAAGGGCAATTTCCATTTGCAAGGGGTTTTCCCTCCTGTACCAGGGAGGTGCCTAAATCTCTAAGAACTGTTATAAATGAAGAAGGTATGGACTGCAATCTGCGCAACAACCTTACCTTTGTTTTCTGTGCTTTTCCTAGTCACTTCCTGTAACTGACTCCCCGCAACTCCCAACATCTTCCATTTTCAATAGGTGAAGATGATATTTAAGGGAATGGTTTGGGCCTCTTAGGAGTTTCTCTGCTTCCCTGGGTCTCTCCCATGTACACAGGTGTACATGTTACTAAACTTCTGTTTGTTTTCCCTGTTCATCTGTCTTAGGTCAATTTAATTATTAGACGAAGGGAAGGAGGGAACGCCTCTCCACCCATACACATCATTCTGGGTATAGGAGGCTGGGGAACATAGTCCCCAGCTGGTAGCTGCCTGGTACCGACAACTGTACACTATGGAAGGGGGCACCCGTTTGGGGGTTACTAGTTGTTTTTGCTCCAGCACTGCTTCCAAGTTATAGACGATACCCTTGCGACTCACGGTGAGGGCACTTGTCCAGAGTCACACAGCCGACAAGTGGCAGCATAGGGACCAGGTCTCTTTTCCCACAACTCCTAATCTATTTCCTACATTGTGCTCTCTCTCCTGCTCATGCTGCAGGCTGTGCTATCAAGTCTAAGGGGCTTTCCCAAAATGTCTGTACCAGGGACCCCTCATTTAGGAGACTGTGGATTCCAAACCACAGCAGGAACACTGGGTGTATAGTTTCTAAGGCAGAAGCCCAGGCCTGTGGTCACTCTTAGGCCCTATTTATTCCTGAGAACACTGTGCCACGATTCACAATGCCTCATGCATTATTCTGTTAGGGCTGCTCTAACAAAAACCAGAGACTGGGCAGCTTAAACAGTAATTTATTAGCTCACAGTTCTGGAGGCCAGAAGTTCAAGGTCAAGGTGTTGGCAAGGCTGGTTCCTTCTGAGGCTGTGAGGAAGAATCTATTCCAGGCCTCTCTCCAAGCATCTTGGTGTTTGCTGGCCATCTTTGGTGTTTCTTGTATTACCTTGATCTCCGCCTTCATCCCCACATGCCATTCTCCCTGTGTGCATATCTATATCTATATTAACCTTTCTTCTCAGGGTACCAGTCCGTTGGATTAGGGTCCACACCACCCCAGTGTGACTTCACCCCACCTTAGCTAATTACATCTGCAATAGAATGTAATAGGAAATCCTCTTTCCAAGTGAAGTCACATTCTGAGGTACTGGGAGTTAGGACTTCAATGAAATGAATTTGGGGGTACACAATGCATAACACCCCATTACCTTTGTGGCTTGCAACCAGACAGTGACTTCCATGTTTCCATAATCACTAATGAACCCTAAATGGGAACAAATTCTACCAACAAGGAAGTAATAGAAGACAATGTAATTTGCTGTGTGAGACAAAAATATTAGAACTCTGAGCCACACCTCTCTACATACAGATGTTTGATCTCTAGACAGTAAGGCCAACTCTCTCAGCAGGAAAGAAACTGGAGATAAAATTTGCCTAACTTATTTGTGAGCCCTTTTGTTAGGATTTTGACTGCTCTGAGGCAGGAACCTTGACTAGACTTGGAAATTATGCCTTAAATGTTTTCTAATTTTTGTTTTGGAAAATTGCATTCCACTGCATTTCTCTCTTCTAATTTAGGAAGAGCTGGGTACACAAAACATGGTCTTACACATTATCACATGACTTCACTGATCTGAGGCCATTGGTTTTGGCAAACACGAACACCACCTCGAACTTGAAACCCCCGTTTTTGCAGTATTACTTTCTCTTTGTTTTGCCCACAAGGTTAATTTACAAAGGCAACTATTGCCAAAAAACATGCCTTTATCTGAACCTCAGTGGTGAAAGCCGCACCCATTGAGCACTGAGGAAGAATCCAGACGACACACCTTTATAAGTTAAAGACACAGGAGAGAACACAGATTACTAAAGATGCTTGCCAACATTCTGCAACTCAAAAAGTTTGTGAGCTATCTTTCCCTGATGTTGGATCATCAAGTCTTTGCCCAAACAAGTCAACCTTTTATTGCACTGGGCAGGCATAGCACAGTGGCATCAGTGAGGTTTCCCATCGTTCTCCAGTTCACATGAGAGAGACAAACTAGCATTTTCTGACACTGTGGTGTTGCTCCAGGAAGAGGGGATTCCCCACCCAGGGTAAGTTCTCTACAAATCCACTGAGACTGAAGAAAGGCAGGGCAAGAAGTCAGGGGTAGAGGGGGTTATGACATTTAATCTCACTGTGGTCACAGGCAGCTTGGTACATGTGGCTGGCTTGAATGCGTTACCCAGACCAGCTACAGGTTCTGCTTCTAGGGAGTAGGCCTCAGTCTCTCCTTGCTCCACACCCTCCATGCTCCCTGCTCCCACGCACAGGCTTAACTCTCCAGGAGTACTGGGGCTCCATGGTCCCCCTGCTCCCACACTCCGGGGGCAACTCTGTGCGTGGATCCCTGGTGACTGGTGGATGCGTGACCAGTTATGTACAGGGAAAACAGGCAGAGGAGAGATGGGTGTTTCCTCTCTACCCCTCCGCTGGGCAGGTACTCCCATGACTGACCAGTGGCTCTGTTGCTGGTAAACATCCCATAAACGTGCAAACATGCTCTTATTATATACCCAGTGGGGGCTGCTACTAAGGCCACGCGGGAACCCTGGTCAGAAAGTTCTGTCTTCCCAACATGTAGTAACGGTACAAGTGTCATCGACTCTCCGCAGGGTCGGGACCCCAGCAAGGGTCCTCTTTCCTGCTTGCTTGGTGTCACTCCTGCCATAGAACAAGACCGAGTTCAGTTCAGCAGAGCAGCTTTATTCTTTGATCAAGGAATGGAGAGTTAGAGCTCAAGCTCTAAGGGGGCAAGTGGGAGACTTTTAAGGGGCCAGGAGGGCAGGCGCAGTGATAGGAGCATCAGGTTTCAAGGAAAGGAGACAGGGATTCCCATGGATAGCTGGTGCATGCTCACCTCTCAGGCACATGCACCAATTTGCATCTAGCAAGTTGCATCCCCCAGCCCCGCCGGGATCTTGGCCTGGTAAAGCTCATTACACATTTATTTATCATAATATGTCTTTTTGAATCTGAGAAGTTGTATTCTTTGGGTAAATTCCAAGGATATCATAATAAATGTGTAATGAGTTTAAAAGCAGGGAGGGGTAAAACTGGGTGTCATCTTGAACCTGTCGGGTCTGGTCAGCGCTGTTGTTTGGCTTTTCCTGCAGGTCATCAATATCCTGCCGCAGTTTTCTATAGGCAAGCACAGTGACAGCGCCAAGTTAGTTTTTCTATGTCTAGGAGCATTTTCCAAAGGGACAAGGAAAGGCAATAAAAAAGGGTGAGGCGCTTATATCCCGGTGACCTAAGCACAGTGAGCGGTAATGAAGAGAGGAAATTGTCCTGGAGGGCCTCCTTGCCCCCGGCGCGAGCCGTGCAGCGGGGTTGCTGGGCCCTCCTGCCCGGTCCGACCTGCCTCTCCCAGCCCGCCCCACCCTTCCCGCCCTTTTGCTCCCTCTGTAGTCTCCTCCTCCACCTGCCTTTTAAGTTGGTGTCTCCCAGGAATAATTTCGACTCAGGGTTTTAACCAGACCTCTCTTTGGCAGAACACCCCGCTGCTTTTCCAAACAAATAAATGTATATACATGCTACGAATCAAAACAAAGTGCCTCTTCACGAAGCCACCATTCACCTAAAAAACGGAATATTACCCGCAATGTGAGCCCACCACCCCCTACTAAAAAAAAATAACCACATCGTGAATTTCCCTCCCTTTCTCTTGCTTTTCTTTAGTTTTCCCACGTCCTCGTGGCTCCAGGTGATTAGAGGCGGCGGGGCCTCCGCTTAGGTTCGCGTTGAGCAGCTTCCCGGGACTGGGGTTTGTGCAAACAGCCGCGGGTATTTTTGAAAGCAAAGCTCTCTGCCGACAGCACCCACTGGACTATGAAGCCACAAGGCGGCGGCTCCGCCCCCACCCCCGGCTCCTCCAGCAGCCCCGGCGGCGCAGGCCAGTGGCGTTATCGGGCGGTGCGAGCTGGGGCACGTGACCGAGACGCTAAAAAGGCGCGACGGCGGCGGCGTGAGTGATCTCGGGCGGCATGAACGGCTATGGGTTATTCTTTCGCCGGGCGGCGGCGGTGCGTTCTTGCCCGGCGCTGGTGGCCTTCGCCCAGAGCCGGCGTCCGCTGCGCACCAGCCCGCCGAGCCGAGCTTTCGCCAAGGAGCTTTTCCTGGGCAAAATCGAGAAGGTAAGGCCGAGCCTTGGCCTACGCTTACTCCCTGCCGTCCGTCGTTTGCCCTCTTAGCAGGAAAGAGGAGTCGAACTTTGTCAGGTACCCGCGCCCGGCCGACAGATACACCTGAGGGGAGGGCGTGCCGAAACCCAGGTTCCTGAGTCTCGTAAGAACCTCTCCGGGGCAAAGGGAAGAGTCCGTGGGGCCCTGGGAATCAGTCCATGGTTTTGACAGGTATTGAAGCTTACAGCCTTGTCAGAGGCCAATTTGGGAACCTCACGCGAGATGAGCACCAGGCAATCTTCAACTCAGCGTACTGGGCCCCGAAAATGTTCCTCTCTGATTCCTCAATATATTTCAGACCTTGCAGCTCTTCCGTCGGCTTTCAGCGGCCCCTCGGCTTCCCAGCGCCCCACCCAGCCATTCAGCTTCCTCGGCAATCTGGTTCCAAGGTGTCTTCCCCACCCTCTCCCCTCCGCGGGTCCTACCACTTGGTAGTTAATCCAGCTGTTAGCTGGTAGTAAGCTAGGTTGTTAAGCACTGAACGTCTTCATGGCTGGATGTCTTGGATTTGACCATGGCTCTGTGACTTTGAGCCTCAGTTCTTCAGGTTAAAATGGAGCTGGTGTTATGTTCTGCCTCGCAGTTTAAAGCCTCAGTGAGATATAGTGTGTGAAATGCTTTTTAAACTGTAAGGTACTGTGCAGGTACAAGTTGATGGTGGTCTCACCACTTACTAGTCTTGTGATCTTGGGCTGGTCACTTCACTCCCTGTGCCTCAGTGTGCCTCCCTGTGCCCCATTGTTTCCAGCTAGCCCAGTTGGAATTTTCTGAAGCTCAGTCTTTAGACTCTCTTTCCATCCACAGCCCTTCCTTTGATCCACCTTAGTACTGTGGCTTTAAATACCATCTATATCATGGTGAATCAAATTTATTTTTCCAGCTCAGATGCTCCCCCGAACTCCAGATTCTTTTGACATCCACCTTTCTGGTCAAAAGCTCCACTTAGATTTCTAACAGGCATTGCAAATTGAGCATATCCAAAACGGAGTTCCTTGTCGCCCCACTCAAGCCCACTTCACCCACCAGCCTTTCCCGTAGATGGTGGCGGCACTGTTGTTCCCACCTGTTCGAGTCAAACACCTGGAGTTACCTTTGATGCCGTTATTCTCTACTTCACATCTAACCCAACAGCACAGCCTGTTTTCTCTGCCGTCAGGTCGTATTTAGAATCTGACCAGTTTTGAGCATGTCCATCTCCACTGCTCTGATTATGGCCAGCCTCATCTCCCCCTGTCATTACCGGGGTTTGAGCAAGAACTTGCATCTGAGGTGCTTCAGGTCACAGAGCAGAAAGACCATCCAGGCTAGCAGCTGTCCCACCGCCCTCAGGCCCTCGTTGTTCATGGACACGCCCCAGGGACATCGCAGGGACCCATGGGGAGTTGAGTAGGAGGCATTTGGTGACCTGCCATCTGCAGCCTCCACCAAAGCAACTTGGCTTTTATCTGATTTACCTGTTTGATCTCTGCACTAGATTTATTTGAAAAACAGGTTCCACTGCTTTAAAACTGCTGCTAGAAACTGCACCCAGCTCCTGTGGAGCACCCTATTGGTTTTGGAACATTACCCTCAGAGCTTTATGCTTACATGCACTTGAGGTCTCTCTCCCTGTAGCAGGGATGGCCCAGAAGCAAGAATTTCTTGAAGACAGCTGTCACTTTTGCATGAGGACCTGCCTATAAGCTTTCAGCCACGAGGCCCGAGAGGGAGAGTATTTGGGAGCATATTACTAGAGGAAACAGGCTTTGGTGACAATTAGGTGTACAATGGCTAGAGTGGAAGCTTGAGGACTCCTCTGCTTCAGTGACCTTTCTTGAACAGGCGGTGGAAGGTTCCATGAAGAGAGGCAGGGCTCCTGGGAGCTGGCAACCTGTGCCTGGGACATGACTTCTCAGCAGCTGTGGGACCAAATTCAAGTACTCATGTCATGCCAGCAGCTGAAGGAGTAGCAGGAACCTGAAAAGCCAGAGGGGCTAAGGACACAGCAGGATAATAATTTTAAGACAATATATACTGATAACTCAGAAGGGAATCCTACCATGCAGAAACATAGACCACTCACCCAGTGGAGACAGAGACTCAAAGCTAAGTTGTTTTCCAGGCTATGAAGTTGTGACGAGCAGCCAGTATCTGATGCAAATAAGTACAGTTCCTTCACATGCCAGGACACGTTATCTGTTTTGTGCCCCACAGTTACCTTCTGAAGTATATATAACAAAAGAGAACATTAAGATGTGTGACACTATGTCACACATCTAAAAGTGGCAGACCAAGGTTGAATACAGGTTGATCTGGTTCAACGGCTGGGTCTCCTGCAGGGAACCCATGACCTCGCACATGCAGCCCAGGTAGATGGCACTGAGCAGGAGGGACGGGATCTGTGTGCAGCCACAGGGGAGCCTGCCAAGATGGCAGCCCTTGTAACCACAGTATACTTTCGCCAGGGCAGCATCTTTGAACTCACAAAACAAGGAATGTAAAATTTTGCATTTTAATAGTGAACTTTCACATGCATTATTTTCCATGATCCTCACAATGACCTTGAGTCAATATCACCTGCATATGACAGGTGAGGAAATGGAAGCGTGGAGAGATGAAAGGGTTTGCCTAAGGACATACAGTAAGTTGCAAATCAAGGAACAAAACCCCAGGCTTTGAAATGTTAGTCCAGGCCTCTGTTTCATAAGACAATCAACATAACTTGTTTTTGGTCAGGAAAGCTGGTCAAAATCAGGAGTAGACCTGCTTGAGTCTGGGAGGAAGATGTACCTAGGTGGTGGACTCTAACAGAATTCCTGGAGTTTGCATTCTAATTCCTTCAGTGAATTATGTCCTGCCTACCAGATGTGGAATCTAGCAAATCTGTTTCCTGCTCTTTTGACTGATTGCCACTATAGGAGGTTGCTGCAAATTAAATCTTTAAATTTTTATCATTTTTAGAAAGAAGTTTTCCCATTTCCAGAAATTAGCCAAGATGAACTTAATGAAATCAATCAGTTTGTGGGACCTGTAGAAAAATTCTTCACTGAAGAGGGTATGTATGATTTCTTTATCATTACTGATTTCCATTTTAAGGGTAATTGCTTTGATACTTATTAGAAGCAGTATACATAGAAAAAGCTCTCTTGAGTGTCATGAAACCTGAAAAAATAATATCTACTGATAATGTTTTGCTTTAAGAGATCACTCTGGTTGCTATTTCATAATGAGGCATCTTGTTGAGTGCCTCTCAATCTGTGGTGAAGGATTGCTTGTAAACATTACCAAACAGAGCACACTGACACTTTTTTTATTAAAGTATCATAGATACACAGTCTTAGGAAGGTTTCACATAAAAAACACAGAGGTTTCAGCATTCACCAATATTATCAAGTTCTCACCCTCTCTGTTATAGTCACTATCAGTGTAGTAAGATGTTATAGAGTCATTAATTGTCTTCTCTGTGGTATACTGCCTTCCTGGTGACCTGTGTATATTGTGATTGCAAATTACAGTGCCCCTTAATCCCCTTCCCCCTCCAGCCCCCAGCTTCTCCCCTTTGGTAACCACTACTCCATTCTCAATGTATATGAGTCTACTGCTATTTTGTTTCTTTAGTTTGGCTTTGTTTTTATACTCCACAAATGAGTGAGGTCATTTGGTATTTGTCTTTCTCCACCTGGCTTATTTCAATGAGCATAATATCCTCCAGCTCCATCCATATTGTTGCGAATGGTAGAATTTGTTTCTTTCTTATGGCTGAATAATATTCCATTGTGTATATGTACCACATCTTTATCCATTCATCTACTGACGGACACTTAGGTTGCTTCCATATCTTGGCTATTGTAAAAAGAGCTGTGATAAACCTAGGGGTGCATATGTCTTTTTGAATCTGAGAAGTTGTATTCTTTGGGTAAATTCCAAGGAGTGGGATTCCCAGGTCAAATGGTATTTCTATTTTGAGTTTTTTGAGGAACCTCCATATTGCTTTCCACAATGGTTGAACTAGCTTACATTCTACCAGCAGTGTAGAAGGTTCCCATTTCTCTGCATCCTCGCCAGCATTTAATGTTCTTAGTCTTTTTGATGCTGGCCATTCTTACTGGTGTGAGGTGATATCTCATTGTGGCTTTAATTTGCATTTCCCTAATGATTAGTGATGTGGAGCATCTTTTCATGTGTCTGTTGGCCATCTGAATTTCTGTGGATAACCGTCTCTTCATATCCTCTGCTCATTTGTTAATCAGGTTATTTGCTTTTTGAGTGTTGAGGCGTGTGAGTTCTTTATATATTTTGGATGTTAACCCCTTGTCAGATACGTCATTTACAAATATATTCTCCCATATTGTAGGCTGCCTTTTTGTTCTGTTGATGGTATCCTTTGCCATACAGAAACTTTTTAGTTTGATGTAGTCCCATGAGTTCATTTTTGCTTTTGTTTCCCTTACTTGAGGAGATGCGTTCAGGAAGAAGTTGCTCATGCTTATATTCAGGAGATTTTTGCCTGTGTTGTCCTCTAAGAGTTTTATGGTTTCATGACTTACATTCAGGCCTTTGATCCATTTCAATTTTACTTTTGTGTATGGGGTTAAACAATAATCCAGTTTCATTCTCTTGCATGTAGCTGTCCAGTTTTGCCAACACCAGCTGTTGAAGAGGCTGTCATTTCCCCATTATATGTCCATGGCTCCTCTACCATATATTAATTGACCATATATGGTTGGGTTTATATCAGGGCTCTCTAGTCTGTTCCATTGGTCTATGGGTCTGTTCTCATGCCAGTACCAAATTGTCTTGATTACTGTGGCTTTGTAGTAGAGATTGAAGTTGGGGAGCATGATCCCCTCAGCTTTATTCTTCGTTCTCAGGATTGCTTTGGCTATTTGGGGTCTTTATTGGTTCCATATGAATTTCAGAACGATTTTCTCTAGTTCGTTGAAGAATGCTGTTGGTATTTTGATAGGAATTGCATTGAATCTGTATATTGCTTTAGGCAGGATGGCCATTTTGACAATATTAATTCTTCCTATCCATGAGCACGGGATGTGTTTCCATTTATTGGTATCTTCTTTAATTTCTCTCATGAGTGTCTTGTAGTTTTCAGAGT